CGTAGCCACGTCACGATGGAAAAAGGCCCCTGTTCATCAGGAATTCAATCCACGGGTAAGAGCCAAAACAGCGCTATGGCCGAACAGACAGCTCTTGGCTCTCCCCAAGGGGCTGCCTGGCTTCTCCCCAGCATGCTAACGCCTGGCAGTGGGTTCGGAGCAAGCCTTCTCCACGTGCCAAGCAGAGCCAAGCCATGGCACCGCCAGTCTGCGTGACCTGCTCAGCAGCCAGTGCCCGTGTGCTTGCAAGGCCTGGACAGTGCTGTTCTCCCAGTGCTGGTTTGGCACCATCCCCGCGGCTCTGTTTGCCATCAGCCAGCAGCTTTGCAGCATGCCATTTTGCAGCCCCACACAGGGGAGGTGACAGGGGGAAGAAAGAGCTGGCAGCAGGATGTGTGCCAGCTCCCTGCCTGCTCCAGGAACAGCTCAGCCCCGCCCAGGCTGCTCTAGCCAGCTCCTTCCCTTCTCCAGAGAGCGGGAGCAAGCCCCAGCTCAAACAATACAGAAAAACAAGCAAGGAAAATAAAACAGAGACACTTTTGTTTCCCAGGTCCCACACCCTGTTTGTTGGCTGCTCTGGGGCGGAGAAAGAGCATAGCGAGGGTGTATTTGCAGCACACACAGCCTGGGAGAGCGTGCGGGAAGCCTGCAAGCTGCACAGGATGAGTGCCCAGGCTGCAGGGGCTGGTCCTGACAGGGCAAAACTCTCCTGCCCGCTCCCAGAGCAGACCACAGCAGGGCAATCACCCCACACACAAACACAAGTCAGGCACCCACTGTCTTGTACCTGGCCCCAAAGCAATGGGTCCCAGCAACCCAGGCTAAGACCACGCACCCTATCTGGAGGTATCACCCTCTACTTGCAGGGCAGGCAAATGTCCCAAGGATGGATCGGCACCCATCCAGAGCCAGAAGGCAGACATCACTCAACTCAGGCCTGAAACACGCATGTGACACCTGACTTGGTCTTTGTTTTATGGAAGCTGGCTGAGGAGGGGGCAGCAAGGGGCCTCAGCCAGAGTCAGCTATGCACGGATCAGGCTGTTTGAGGCACCTGGCAGACCTTGCCCCTTGCAATCTGGTAGCAGCATTCTTCTTGGGAGAGGTGCCGAGATGAGGACAGTGCGAGCTGCACATACTGAACCCCTGCGCTACTGATTAACTGAGCTGTCAGCTACATTTCCAGGAACCTCATCTCCCACTGCTGCCCAGCTGAAAAGCCCATTGCTGCAACTCTTCAGGATTTCTGGGAGAGCAAGATGACTCAGAGCCATGTCACAATGCAAGATCCAGACATTTGCTACAAGCTGCCTCCAGCTACATTTCAGAGACACGATTATACGTTCAGCACCTCGCACGCAGGCTCTCCTTTCCCAAAAATGCCAGGGAGACATACAGTAAACAGATTTGCTGCTGCAGTGGTCCTACCAACTACTGATGGCAGGCCAGGAGACTGCCAAATGGTCAGTTCCCTATCGGGAGGCCAATGAGTTGCCCTAACTAGGAGACACCAGCACATCAGCCAGCCTAGCTGTCCCTTTGCAAGGCTTTAGCTATCGATGGTAGGCGGGAGAAATACCCCAAGAATGGCCTGGGCCCATGTGGCTCAGGACCCTGTCCAACAGCTGCAGCACAACAGGGTTTAGCTCTGTATTGTGGTCAGCAGCTGGATGGTCTCGGTTCTTAGTCAACGAGATCTCAACCAGTTCTCAAGGCCTGAGCTCACAGTTATGTACCAAGTCCAAAGTGACTGAACCACACAACCCAGGATACGATTGGGAAGCACACATGGTCATGTGGTGCTGCAAATGCACAAGGCAACACCTCAGACAGCTGAGACAGGGCACTGCCAAAAACGTGTGCTACCCTGTGGCTGGGCGTGAACCCAAGTTCCTGCACAGCACAGTCTGCTTAAGGGATAAGGCTCACATTGCGCGATCTTGCAAATGCGTATCTGTGACCTGCTAAGACGTCTCCCTGCAATGACTGTGCTGTCACCTCCCTGGATGAGTCATGCAAGAACAGTGGGCAGGGTCAAGAAGGATGCATAAAAAGCAGCTTTTAATTGGCACTGATGACATCCCAACAGTGGAGGAGACTGTGTATCTGTCTGACAGCAGGAGGGCAGGCAAGACCAGTTCCATTGCAGAGTGGAACAGTCCCATGCACACAAGCAGTCCCAGGCTGACAGAGAGACAGGCTCCTGTCATCACAGCACAGAGGTCTGGATGGGACCTCTCCTCTAAGTCATCTTCTGCATCCCCAGATACCCTGTGGAGGCTGTTGGAGCCAGGCAGGGGTAGGGACAGTTCAGACAGAACTGAATTCTGCCCCAAGAGTCCCAAACGCTTTCTTAGTCATCCAGGAGACTCAGGCGCTACATCAGTGACCCCACTCCTAAAGGCTGCTTTGAAATGAACTGCATCTCAAACCTTGCAGACCCTGCAGAGCTGGAATTCCTCCCATGTTAGCTGGCAACCCGCAGCCAAGCCAGCTGGACTTGGGGAGTCCTAGAGACAGATATTCTGGTTTCTAGGGCTCTTTGCCCCCAAAGCCATCACCCCAGTGCCAAGTACCACAAAGAGGCTCCATGCTGCACTGGCTCTGCTTGCACAAACCAAGATGTAAAACCAAACTCCCCATCTCCATCATCCACAAAGTTCATCCTCACGCCCAAATGCCATCCTCGGAGCACACCCATACCCCAGATCCTGAGCAGATCCATCAGGCACTGACTTCTGATTGAGCTGTCGAGCCGCTTTGCCATGCCCACTGCACCCTTCCTTGCTGGTACCTGCTGACCAGCAGTATCTGCCATTCAGCTGATGGCGCAGGGCTGGTGCCACAGGGCCACATGAGGACACAGCACGCTCAGTAGTCACACTGCTGCATGCATCAAAGGAGGAATCCCAGACAAGGCAGCAAAAACCCCGCTGAATCCTAAGAGACAAGGGAGCAAGGTGCTCCCCACTGCCATAAGCTGCCCTATGTGACACGCTGCACTGGGGAGGAAAAGCTCCCTGACTCTTTGCTAGCAGCAGCACAGCTTTGTGCCAATTCCAGTTCTGCTCCAGTCACTGTCACCTGCCTCTGTGACCAGCTGCCCAGATCAGTTAAGTGACATTTCTGTCCCTGCTACAAAAGGCATGTTCAGGCCTCACCTCTGCGGGACAGCCGGGTGTCTGCGTCCGTGTCCACGAAGAGCTTCATGCGGAAGAGATCTCGCACCTCCTGGCTGTAGAAAGCCAGGATGCCTTCGAAGAGCACCACGTCGGCAGGGTAGACAGTCACCGTCTCCTCTTTCCTAGCAGAGGGACGGAGAGTCAAAATACGCTGGTGGCGGGGGAAACAAGCTAAGAGAGGTGGGGGGAAACAGCGGCGCTCCTAGGCACTGCTCCAACCCTGGCACATCACTGCTGCACCAGGGGGGTGACCGAGGAGAGGGCAGACCTACCCCACCGCAGTGAAGGGAATCCAAGGCATACGTACGCTTCCTAGAAGGACAAACGGCAGAGCAGGAAGCAGACTAGCCCTTCTCCCCCCACCTTGGCCAGCTGCTGCTTGCAAGTGTTATGTGCCAAGCCGTAAAGCCCAGAAAGCCTATGCATGGGGCTTGACCCACAGGAACCTGCAAGGGCCAGCTCTGCTCCCCTGGAAACCAGGCAGCACTCCCCTGACACCACAGTGCTTCTGTGGGAAATGGAGCAAGGTCACGCCATCCACGACCAACACAGGCATGCAAAAACAAGCTGAACACATGCAAGGGAAGAGTTACAGAAGCAAGAACTGTTGTCCTCCTCCTTTCCTGGCAGTGCCGGGCTGTTTGAGCCTGGAACACTTGTTAAAGCTGCAAACACAGAGTTTATGGGGAGAGGAAGTGTGGATGGAGGAAGAAAAGGGGGGCCATAACCCCCTTCTACTGATGCCTGTGTGTTGCTGGACGCAACAGCATGGCTGCGCAGCTTTCCAGACTCTCAGACTGCACCTGTATCTGCCCTGGATCCTCTAACCAAGGGTTTGGAGTAGTTAGCATTGAAACATTCAGTTAGCACATTAGGCGCCTAAGAGCAGGCACAAGTGGAGGGGCAGGTGGTTTGGGCTGGCATGGCTGCGTGCTGCGCCGCAGGGCATTAGCAGAGGCACAGCAAGGCAGGGGCAACTGTTAGACCTGGAGTGGGAGACAAAGTCATAGACGGGAATCTGGACCGTCTTCCCTTCCGTGATCTCTTTGAGCGTTTTCACGATCAGCTCGTTGTCAAAGGCATCTGAGAAGAAAAGAAACGTTACCCGAGGCAGCTTTGCAACCTCTCCCACCCACCAGATGCTGAGGTTAGCCTAGCCAGAGCCACTGGCACCCCGCACTGGGGACGGACAGACACACAGACTCAGGAGGAAAGCCCTCCACGTCCCCGTGGGCATAGCAAGGCCCAGCTCTCTCAGAGCCCCTGGGGTTTCACTGCTTTGCACCAGCCTGGGATCTGGCCCACAGAGATCAATATTGTCCTTGTATGGCAGTGCTGACAGCCTGGGCTCGGGAAGGCATCTCCTCCAGGGCTCCAGCCCTTCGAGAGACTGGAGCAGTGTTTCAGCCTCGAGCTGCCAGACAGACAGGGCTCTGTTTGCTCAGTGCTCACTGCCTCTGGCCATTGTCCTCGTGGGGATGAAGGGACAGCGGCTCTGAAATTTCCCCACCGAGCCTGGAGATGGTTCAAAAAGCCCCTGTTGTAACAACAGGGCATGGCCCCCTCGGTGGAGGCGTTTGCAGAGCAGCTGCACAAGATGGTTCCCTCCTTGAAGGAGGGACATGGAGCTGCTGGCTCCAGGGGGCTGTGCCAGGCCAGATCTCCCTGGTCCCAACCCAGCTGCACCAGAAAGGTTTTCAAACTGGGGGATGTTTTTGCAGGGAGAAGAGGAGCATCTTAAGGAGTTTGAGGGTTTACAACCTGCCCTTTCTCATCCCAAACACTCCACCCCAGAGGCAGTTTCCTTCCCAAGAGAGACAGAGGTTGTACTGCAGGGGACACAGGTGGCCCCCAGCCACCCTGCCAGGGATGCACCCGCTTCCTGAAGAGCTTAACCAAGCCACCCACTCCTGCCCCATGCAGAGACAGAGTCCCAGTGTCCATGCAAGGCTCTTTGCCGGTGGAGCAGGGATTCCTGCTCCAGCCCTCGCCCCCTACTGCACAGCAAGGCCCCGGTGCTGTTCTCCATTCACCTGGGTGGTCAAAATTGAACTGGCCTTTGAGTGCTTTGGATTTCTGCTCTGAGGTGAGGACCCGGTAGAAGCTGTCTTGGCTCACAATCACCACCTGCTTCTGGCGGTAGTCCACCTCGTTCTGGCCCAGCAGCTGGACGATCTTGGAGCACACTGAGGACTGGGAAAGGAAGAGCAGAGGATGCAAGTCAGTGGCAAGTGGTGTCTGAGCCATGCAGGGAGGATGTCCCCAGGTAACAGCCATTCCTGGGTGCATGGGGCACTGCTTGCTGGACCTCCAGCTGAGAGTTCATGGTACCCTCAAAGGCACAGCCCAGAGCCAGTGAGGGAAAAGTGCTCCAGGGGCATCACCATGGGGCGCTTCAGTGTGAAAGCAGCACCAAGCTTGCTCCCTGCCTCCCTCTCCCCCGTCCCTATGGCCTGCCCACAGCTCCTGTTCTCAGCACAAACTGCAGCAGGAAACCAGTCAGCTGCTGCCTGGGTTCAGTCGCACCCCTCGGGGCCCCCACGACCAGCTCCAGCCTGCCCAGCAGCTCCCCAGGGAGCAGAGCTGTGCATGGCACCAGGGCTGAGCCTCCTCCCTGTGAGGCAGCCTCAGTGCCTTTGTTCCCCCAGCCCTAGTCCAGCCCAGAAACTCCACCACTGCACAGGCATGGAGGGAGAGAGTCCTCAGAGAGGGAGAGCCAGGTTGTTTTCATACCCTAAATAAAGCCCAGGATGAAAAAATACCAGAAGAGCAGCTCTGGAACTTTATCCAGGGATCTCTGCCACAGCTGCAAGGGCTGGGAGGAGCAGCCGTGAGCATATCCTGGTGCCTCCTGGCACAGCAAGGCTAAAGGCACTGCAGAGCCAGTGGCTGAAGAGCCACGTGGCTCTGGCTGCCAGTGCCAGATCCCAGATCCCCACGAGCACTGCTGGCACAAGAGCCGGCACCTTGCACACCGCGCAGAGTGGGCTGGGTGCCAGTGGCCAGCATTGACTCTCTGCTGGCACCGCAGCAGGCACCAGCTGCGTGGCCAAGGGTCACGCCGGACCGCCGTCATCACACCACGAATCAGAGCAGAGCTTGGGGGACAAATCCAAAAGCCTGCTTCAGTCTCTTCTCCTTAGTCATACGAGTCCTTGGCCGCTGTGCAACACAGCGGCGTTAACTGCATCACTAACTGGCAGCCGGCACGCCTGCCCCGGCCAGTGAGAGCCAAGGTCAGGCCGGTGGGGGAGTGCTCTGCTGCCTGCAGGAGCACTGCACGTCAGCCCCTGTGGCATCCACTGTTTGAGAAAGGGGTGCTCCTGGTGCCAAACTGAGCTGCTTCACCTCCTGCAAATCATGCTTGCTGCAGATGCCCATCTGAGCTGCTCCTGGCCTCGGTTACCACAAATACTCTCTGCTGAGCACTCTGCTTTACAAAGGAGGTTTGCTTGCCCCAGCCTGCCTGTGGCTTTTTCTATGCTCTCACCTCCCCACTGGCTCAACCATCTGCTCCGTACCTGGCTGGCAACCTCCAGATGCAGAGCTGAAGACAGCAGTGGTGAGAGGGAACAGGGAGGGGAAGGCATGCCTGGCAGAGGAGGTCACCCCAGCAGGCAGAGGGCAAGGCTGTTTGCCTGAGAAGCTGGAAGATTTGACAGCATTCCTGTCCCCAGAGACCATCTCTTCCCCTCCAGGCCAAGCTGACCTGACTTGGCTGTGACCACTGCGCTGTGAGTCAGCCCCAGCCTGGCTGGAGAGCCTCCGCACACAGCACTGCTGCAGAGCGAACCGGCTCGGGCTGCCCGACAGCAGTCCTTGCGGCCCTGGGCAGAAGTTTGGGGTTTGGGTCAGGGATGGGGTCTCGCTGAGCATCCCACCTTCTTCTCATGCCTCTCAGGGCTGGCAAGTTGTGCTTCCCAAGCCACGTTGGCAGCCCTGCCCTGCAGCAAGCTGCTACCACCCAGAACAAAGCACTGCAAGCCAGTGCCAGTCACTCACCCTTCGGCACATGCAGACACAAAGCCAGAGCCCGTTCTCTGTTTCCTCTGTTTTCCCACTCCCCACATCCTTCTCCAGCCTGTGTCAGCCCTATTGCTTATCCAGCTGTATCCCATAGGTTTCGCAAAAACAGGGTGTGCACAGTGCCTCTCCTCCACTTTTCCTCCCTTGCTCTCTCCCTGGGATGCTGCTGCCTTTCCGTGCTGCCCATGCAGCAAAGAGACACGGTGCAAAAGGGTTCAGCCTTGGCCACAGCTGCCGAGGGCACCAGGCTTCTCAGGCCCTTTGCAATTAGGAATAAATCACCTTCCAGCTCAGATCCCCAGCCTGTAGATCAGCAGGCTCCATACGGATCTGCACCAGTAACTGCTTTCCCCAGCCCAGGGGAAGGAGCAGGGCTCCTTTACTTCGGATCAGTGAAAGCAACACACCAGTTGCACTCGCACTCTCCCCTTGGACCTCAGCACACAGATGGACAATAAAACCATTTCAGGGCATCAGACAGTTCCGGCCAGTCTTTCTGCTGCCTTATGCACATTAATCCCTCGTCTACTGATCCTGGAAAGTGGGGAAGAGAGTCCCCATCATCTCTGAAAATTGCCCTCCTGTTCCATACCCCACAACATGAGACATCCAATGGTGAGAAAAACCCAAGGAGAAAGTAGCCCTTGGCAGCTGGAGACAGGAACGTAAGTCCTGGCTCAGACGTACGTCCTACCAGGACAAGGATCAGAGCATGTCCCAGATGCATTTACCATCCAGTGCTCTGGGGTGGCAAGTGCCTCTTGCAAAAGCATCCAGGCAGATGCTACAGACCCTTCCCTTTTCTCTGGTGGGCTTTGGAGAGCTATCATAAGTGGTGGAGAAAGATGATCACAAGGACATCCTGCTCTCAGAACAAAGCTCAGGTCCGGTGTACCGTGTCGCCCAGGTGGGCACCTCTGGGCTCTGGGAAGAGGCACACATGTCACCGTGGTCCCGCAGAGGGCAGCTGTGAGCCAGGGCACTGCTCGCATGTGATACCTGCAAAACTGCAGTGGGACATAGGGACAGCAGGGAACACGTCACGTTCCTCCAACCCACGGGTTGTGTTCAGCTTGCCTTAGCAGGGCAGCAAACCTCGGTGAGGACTCCTGCAGCTTTCTCTTTGGGGCTGGTAAGAAATAACGCCCACCTCAGGTCTAAGTGAAGAAGGTTTTTCCTTTCCCTGCGATCACTTGTGATGGAAATAAGAAAGGTTCGTGAGGGACATTCCCTGATGCCGGTCTGAATACCTCCTACAGCTGGACAGGCAGTTTTTCCCCTTGGTCAATAAACACCCTATGTTAAGGAGGAAGAAAAACCAGAAACGCAGAGGTTACAAATTCCCCTATGCAGTGGGAACAGAAACTCCCAGCCTCAGGAAGCGTCCCTCCAAATGAATGACGCATGTCCCCTGCTTAAACCCCCTTCTTTCAAACCAGCACTGCATACATACATACGTGTGACTGATGTTAATCAGAAGTGTGAAAAATCCACTAATAACTGGAATTGATAGTGGTTAGGCTCTGGGGACGTCTGCAGGTGCCCAGAAAGACCAAGACCAAAGCATGACTGCGAAGTACCATGCCAGGCTGTAACCAGCCTGGATGCACGGTAACCCAGGGGTTGCGTGGTGCTGACACATGCACTCAGCACCTGCTTGAAGGAACAGCCTGGGCTCTGATTCCTTCCTTTGCCAACTCCTAACTGCCTGGCTCCTACCAGCAACCACTTCTCCCAAGGGTGAAGACAACAATTGTTTCTTCCCTGAGAAGCCCAGGACTGCAAAGGCAAATGGAGGATGACTTGAGGAAGATGACATGATGCTATAGATGAATCCCAGTACAGAAATTCTGAGATTTGAGCCCCATCCCTAGCTCTGCCCTGCATGACACATCCCATCTGCAGGAAGATGAGAGGCATGACAGGGCTCCTTGCCTCCGCTCAGCCCCTTCCCTAGATCTACATTGTCCATGCGTACCTTGCCGCGACCCAAAGCAAATGCTGATGGTGATTCAGCTGCAGCGCACTCACTGGCAACAGGATGCTTTCTCAAGCAAAAGCCTTCCCCTCCTCCAGAACTTGTTTAAAACTAAATATAGACAGGACACAGCAGCCTCTGAGCCTCCATGGTTGCCAAATGGACCTTTCCGATGTTAGCCACATGAAACCAATGCAGGACTTTCCAAGCATGCAGGCAGGGAGCCCCGGCCCCTCTGCCATCGTTCATGACTTTCCACACACTGCAGCGAGGGAAACTCAGCTCCAGGGTCAAGCAAACTGGCTGCGACCCACTGAGCTGCACTCCCCCAGGCTTTGCGCTTGAGCTGCTCCCTGAGAAAGCTGTGCAAACCAACCCACAGCACACACAGACGGTTGAGAGGGAGGTATCTGCACACCACAGTGCACGAAGGGAGCTCAGGGAAATGTTATTCCTGCACAGAAGCGGCTGCAGCTCCCCTTGCAGGATTCCTCCTCTGAACCAAGCACACAAATAAGCAGTGTTTCAGGAAGAAGTACAGCTTTATTCTGCTGGGAGGGGAAGACACAGAGGGTACCCAGAGAAGAACTCCAGCATATTTTCCCAAAAGGAGAGAGGTGGTGCACAGGGGAAATTCAACAGATGGGTGTTCAGAGCCCTACCCCTGACGTTTTTTTTTGAAAGATATTAATTACATTACATATTTAATTCATATTCACTCATGGCCTATAGCCAGCTGCTCAGATATTCTTTAGGAGTTGACTAATTCCCCAATATTATTATGCACATTATCCCACAATCCCTCTTGGGTAGCTCTGATCAGCCAGTAAATTACGACTTCAGACGGGTATTAGAGAGAAAGGTGATGGACAGTGCTACAGTCAACCACCATGTGAAGGTACCAGGCAGGACACAGCTGATGCTTTCAGCCCCAGGTTTGCTGTGGCAGACAGGGCAGTACAGGCACTTCTGCCTCGGCTGGTAAGGCCTGTCCTGGGCTAGGAGGAATCTTTAAGCCTTGTGCATGTGGATATGACAAAACCCACTCGCTTTGAGCAGTTCATCCATCCCCAGGGAGCCTGGCACTGCAGAGGGATGTCTACACCGAGCTGCTCACTAGGCTCCCAATACAGCAGCAGGGAGGACCTCTCATCCTCCCAAGGACTCCAGACTAGACACCTAGCAAAAG